AGCGGTTCGAATCCCTAGTGCCACATAACGGGGTGAGCTCCTGTTCCTTGTCCCAGCTTCTGCCAATCTAGCAGTTCGAAAGCAGGTAAAAAATGCAAGTAGAAAAATAGGGATCACCTTTGGTGGGAAGCTAACAGTGTTCTGTGCGCCTTGGGCGTTTAGTCAAAGCCACACGGCCACATGACCACGGCGACGTCTTCGGCAGCACTGACTCTTCGGCTTTGAAATGAGATGAGCACCGCCCCCTAGAGTCGGGAACGACTAGCACATATGTGCAAGGGGAACCTTTATCCTTTACCTTACAATGCTCTAGTCTACATTCAGTAGAATTGAAAACTCTGTGAGACAGAAAAAGCAGGGAAGGTTTGACTACTAATGTGCCTGCAGATGATGATTTTTTTCCAATTATTCTTCCTACAATACGCTGAAATCAAAATGTTATTAAAGGGTATAATTAGCTAATTTAGCTTTATTGTTTGTTGCTGTCAAGTTGATGTTGACTCATGGTAACCCTGTGGATAATTGCCCTGAACTGTGTTCTCTCTTCAGTTGGGTGGCTAATGGTAGCTAAAGTGGCATCCATAGCTACAATTCTTCCATTGCATTGACTCTTCCTCTTTAATGCTTTCTTCAATATATTTGATTATTATTATTATTTTTTGCATGGCATAACCCCAATACAAAAGTTGTGATTTTAAAATTCTAATGAAAGCTCAGGCTTGATTTCTTCCAAAATTGATTGATTTGTCCATTAGGTAATCTAGGGTGCCCACAATAGCTTTTGTCAGTATCACAATTCAAAGGTATCTATTATCTTCCTGTCTTATTTCTTGATGGCCAAACTTTCACATCTATCGAGTGACTATTTGCCATCAAGTTGCTGTAAACTCTTAGCAGCTATGTAGATTCTCTCCATGTCCCAGAATGGTGAGAACGGGGACAGTGCAATGGTAGAGTTTAGTCTCCTTGAATTTTCTCAAGGTCTTAGATGACTCCAATTTTCTGCATTATTATCAGGCAGTGAAAAAACAATTGTCCAGCTGGAGATATGCTTGCTACTTTGGGGTGAATGTTTTTCAAAAGAAGATATTCCTCATTGTAACAACTTTGCAGAAATATTTTTTTTTACTGTTTGCTTCCAGATTAGATTCTGAGGGTTCTCCGGACAAGGCCATCCTTTAGGTATTCGAAGGCCCTTGCTCTTAAACCAGTCACTTCCCTAACACAAGCCCAGAAGAGGAAAGGTCAGAGCAAGGCAAAGAGCCTGTGATGTTGCTAGACACAAAGCAGGCCTGTGATTTGGGGAAGAGGGTATAAGGGGCCTTGGTGGCGCAGCGGACTAAACTGCTGTTAAAGTAGCACTTAGCTACCAGCTGCCTGCAATTACTGAGAGTTCAATTCTCACCAGGCTCAAGGTTGACTCAGCCTTCCATCCTTCCGAGGTAGGTAAAATGAGAACCCGGTTTGTGGGGGCAATAAGCTGACTTTGTATAAAATAGAACACCCCTTGGGGCGGCCAAAAAGCTCGACTAAGCAGGTATATACAAAAGTATGAAGGCTATTGCTTAAAAGCATTGTAAACCACCCTGAGTCTCCAGAGAAGGGCGGCATATAAATCGAACCAATAAATAAATAAATAAAAAATAATTCAGTCAGAGAGAATATCTAGACTTTCTAGAGCAGAGATGGCAAACCTGTATATGATATTTTGGATGACAAGCCAGTACTTATCAATGCCCAACAATTATTCCCAAAAATCTGCCTTGTTCTTGCACATCTGTCCCAAAGGTGCTTTTTCAAGAGGCAATTGGACTTTCTGTTTTTTCTTTGAAGATGTTTCGCTTTTCATCCATGAAGTTTCTTCAGCTCTGGCTGGATGGTGGGGAATGAAAAAGCACCTTTGGGACAACTATCATCTGGATGACTGAGAATCTCCATAGACATTGTTCTTGCACAATTTTCAGAGTCTCTGGAGGCCGCATGAAAATGGACGTGCTCTCCTGTGGCTTCTTGAAGTCGCACAAGAATGGGGCATCCTTTCGTCTGGTTTTTGGAGGCTACAGTGGCCATGGGAGAGCATTCTCCCAAGATCTTGTGTGTCCCAGAGCAACCTCAAGTAGGCTGCAGAGGTCTGTCAACAGAGAGAACATTATCTGAAGGTAAGCAGCATGTGGCAGAACCTGGAGAGTGCCAAACTGCAGGGGCAATCACCCCATTCCCCAAGTCTCGCATGTCTTGGGGAATTTATTTATTTATTTATTTATTTATTGGTTTGATTTATATGCCGCCCTTCTCCGGAGACTCAGGGCGGCTTACAATGAGTTAAGCAATAGCCTTCATACTTTTGTATATACCTGCTTAGTAGGGCTGTGAGGCGGCCATTTTTGAAGAGCAGTGGTAGTGCTAGAGACGAGGTTGAGTTCTGGGCCTCTACTGCAGGCCCAGGCTCGGTGCCGCCGCCGAATGCTGTTGTTCAGGGTGGCTTAGTTGGGGTGCATGTGTAGATGATTGTTTCGCTTTTGTTTAGGTTGTATGTGTACATCTCATGGTAGCAGAGTCAAATTAGGGCACTTTCTGAATTTGTGATACGTCAAGCCAAAAGGTTTGCCACCACTGTTATAGAGCCAAAACATAAGGTATCTTAGACAGCAATTCCTCCTCCAATTTAGCCAGTGACTGGGCTCAGTGAGCTTCCAATGGCTGAGAGTTGTTTTGAACTGAGTCTCTTCCATCCTAGGCCCGAGCTACTACAGCATACTGTACTGCCTTTCTGTCGACATACACAAGGTCTCGAGTTCAAGAGGTGGTTTCTAGAGCTGAAAGGATAAGAAAATGGTGCTGAGGGTAACTTTGGCCCAAGATCCTGCAAAAGGGAAAAGGCTCAGTGAAGCCTGAGTTCCTTTCTATAAGTTCACACTTACAGCCAACATTTCTTACAAGAGAAGCCAAACAGCTAAAAAAAACCTCCCTCATGTAAAATAGATCTCTCTGACCAACTTTATTAAACTAATCCTTGGATATCTCCAGAAGGTAAATACAAGCCCTGTTTCTTCCACTGCTCCTCCTTATGCACAAAGGAATTTTAATTAATTAAATTGAATCTGACTTTTTCATAACAAATAGTTCTCAGAAAGGCTGACATTAAGATATATTTAAAAATAGTAAATTATAATTAAAGTCCAGGAGTTCATCCGGTCTTCTAATATTGCTTTATTGCATTTTTATGCTGTCAAATCCATTTAGATTTCAGCATTAGCTGAAAAAGCCAAAAGCCTATCTAAATAAAAACATTTTTCTCCAAGTTTTGGTGCTGCTTTCTTATTATTTTTGTGCTGCTAGATTGCTTTATTATCTATTGTTTTATTATTTATTATTTGAGTATCTATCTATTGTTGGATATCATTTCAACAGAAAAGCAAAAAAAACAGTGGTTGCATCCCACATTATTCTTAACCTGGTTTCTGAATTACTCCATCACCTGTGTTTACACAATCCAATGAATTGTAAATTCAGTGGGTTGATTGGAATGTACAGAACGTTTCCAAAAATGCAAAACAAAATTACCACCAAGCTAACTTATCATGTTACTTCAAATTACTCTTCTAAGCCTTTATCCGATTGCTTAAACATGTTGCGTGTAAAGTAAGACAGAAGGAATTTGTTGTTTTTTCTGGAACATATATATTGTAAGATGACTGTAAAAAATAAGCAAACAAACACAAAAGTCTTATAGTGCAGCAATTTTGACAACCTTGCCCCACACTGATAATTGTGGCCTATAACCTAAATACATAAAATAATGATGGAATTGTAATTCTACCTCTTTCTGGCAGGCTCCAGATAATAGAAAACTGGTGTAAACTGTGAGTTCAAGGCAGATAAGTGACAACTGCCCTTCCCCCCCCCCCCCCCCCAGTCTCACACTTTTATCTGTAGCATGCACACAAGGCAAACCTCTCCCAAAGGATAGCTGAGCAAACTAGGGAGATGCAGCAGAATTCTCCAGTTCAAACCTGTTAAATATTATTAAAGAGAAGGGGAGTTAAGTGCTAAATCACGTTTTACTCGAATCCAAATCTACTAACATAAAAAAAAGTTTACATTAAAAAAAATTAGTAAAAAAATTGATATATTGATATAATATAATATAATATAATATAATATAATATAATATAATATAATAGCATAGCATAGCATAGCATAGCATAGCATAGCATAGCATAATAGTCTAACTAGGTAGCTCAGTGGCCAAGACAGAGCTCCTCGATCAGAAAGGTTGGCAGTTTGGAGGTTCGAGTCCCTAGTACAGGTCTCCTGAGAGAGCAGGGGGTTGGACTAGATGACCTCCAAGATCCCTTCCAACTCTGTTACTGTTACACTTTCTGAAGGTGCTCAGAAAAATCTTCCTGTTTCACCTTCCGGGCAATTTTCAATGAAGGGAAATAAAATACGTGCCCTTGTTTCTCTAATAATCCCTTATTATTATTGAGACTGAATTCACAAGACATGGAAACCAAGTTGTTGACACTTCCGTGTTAAGCCAGCCCAAGTCCCCAAGGGATAGACATCCCGATCCTCGAACTACACAGGTGTCACGTACGCAAAACTCTCTGATCTTAAAAAGTGGCCGCTTCACTCATACCGAAGGCGAAGGCAGCATTGTGGGTCACCCCAGTGGTGAAATCCAAATTTTTTTACTACCGGTTCTGTGGGTGTGGCTTGGTGGGCATGGCAGGGGAAGGATACTACAAAATCCCCATTCCCACCCCACTCCTGGAGGAAGGATATTGCAAAATCTCCATTCCCACCCCACTCTGGGGCCAGCCAGAGGTGGCAATTGCCTGTTCTCCGAACTGCTCAAAATTTCTGCTACCGGTTCTCCAGAACCTGCTGGATTTCACCCCTGGGTCACCCTGATCTCCAGCCCTAACGCACCACCGGGGACCCCTTTCTGCCAATGCAAGCGCGCATTTCCCACGCGCGGCCCGTCATTCACCCACTTTGGGAGGTGCGAGGTTGCCGCGGGATCCCGCGCCGCGGCTCTCCTCTCCGCCGGCAGGGAAGTCGCCCTTTGCCGCATGCCAGGCTATCTCGGGGCTCAGCAGCTTGGGATCCACCGCCGGCGTTTCCAGCTGACCGTACGGGCGGCGCAGCGGCTCAGTTCCGCTGCGGAAGGGACCCCCGGCCGCCGCCGGGAGCGCAAAGCCAGCGGGCTGCTGTAGCAGCAGCAGCAGCCCCGATTCCCGCAAGAGGCGGCGCAGGAGCCGGAGACCGCTTGGCTGGTGCCCTGGGCCGGGAAGCGGACTCTCCTCTGCCCAGCTGAGCTGTGCCTGGCCCGGCAGGAACCCAGGCGCAGCGCCGCCGGCCCCAACTGCCCCAGATCGGAGGCTGCCTCCCGTGCCAGCTGCTTGGTCCGAAGCAAAGCGCCCGCCGATGGCTTGGAAAGCTCCCCTGGGCAAAAACGGAGCCAGGGCGCAAGGCTGGCCTAGCCAACGCATGGCAGCCGGAGGTGCTGACCCGGCGCAGCCCTCCCTGCCCGGCGCTTCTGGAGCGAGGAAGGCGGCACCTCAACCCCGAGAGAGAAGGGAAACAGCCACCCACGGCCCTCCCTCCTTTAAAGGGCCAGCGGCGGCTTCCCGGCTAGATTTCGCCTTCCAAAACAAATCCACCAAGGAGACACGCCGGCTTTCTGGCTTGGTTTTTTTTTTGCACTTTTCTCCGCTGCTTGCCGGCTGCGTTCGCACCTGGGGTTCTTTACCCGAAAGGGGTCGGCTCTATTTTGCCTTGACGACCTGGGTGAACCACGGCTAATGGTTGAGGCTTCCCAGCCCATCCTCCCTCGGTATTTATTACGAACTCTATTTAATTTTAATTTAATTTAATTTCCAATTTATATACCGCCCTTCTCCCTGAGGACTCAGGGCGGTGTACAGCCAAGATAAAAAACATAGGATACAAATATTAAAACATTTAAAAATATATATAAATTTTGGCCCAAAAGTTAAGAATCACAAACTAATTAAAAGAATTTAAAAATTTCTTCTAAGCCAACCCGGCTTGCTGAAAAAGATAGGTTTTCAGGGAATGACGGAAGGCATTGAGGTCATGGATTCTTCTTATCTCCGGGGGCAACTGATTCCAGAGGGTGGGAGCCCCCACAGAGAAGGCCCTCCCCCTGGGGGCCACCAGCCTACATTGTTTGGCTGATGGCACCCTGAGGAGGCCCTCTCTGTGGGAGCGCATGGGTCGATGGGAGGTCGTCGGTAGCAGCAGGCGGTCTCGGAGATAGCTAGGCCCTATGCCATGGAGTGCTTTAAAGATGATGACCAACACCTTGAAGCGCACCCGGAAGACCACCGGGAGCCAGTGCAGCTCGCGCAGGAGCGGTGTTACATGGGAGCGCCATGTTGCTCCCATCACTACCCGCGCTGCTGCATTCTGGACCAGCTGGAGCCTCCGGGTGCTCTTCAAGGGGAGCCCCATGTAGAGAGCGTTGCAGTAGTCAAGGCGAGAGGTGACGAGGGCGTGAGTGACTGTGCACAAGGAATCCCGATCAAGAAAGGGCCGCAACTGGCGAATCAGGCGAACCTGATAAAAGGTCCCCCTGGTAACAGCCGTTAGATGTTCCTCCAAAGACAGTTGAAGCAAATCCTAGCCAATCATAATAAGTTGATAAACGTGTTCCTTTTTTTTGTTTCCCTCACTGAAAGGGCCCTTGGTAAACCCTGTCCCAGTTCAGGAAAGAGCCTTGTGCGTTTGGGGACCCTGAGAAATTCCAGGGTCAACACAACCCCGGAGCAATTGACAAGTTTACTACTAATTACACCACACTTATCTATTCATCTGTTTTATGAACACACAAACCATAAATATTACCAAGAACTCAAGCGCTAGTTGACAAGAAATAAGTGTTTCATTTCTTACAAGATATCTGTCAGGTTTCGATGCTATCTCAAAATAAATGAATTTCCAAACTGCCGATCTTTAAGGAAATTTTCTCTTTATTCGAGCACAGCAATCTGATCCTGGCTCTTTCGCGGTCAGTACTGACCTTTGCCCCCCAATCCCTCCCTTTCCGATCCCCAATTCTCTGCTTCTCATTGGCTATCTTCCAAGTCACTTTCCTGATCCCTTCTTCGTCAGATCACAGGAATGTCTCCCCCCCTCTGCCATCTCCGAGGAGACAGAATCTTCAAAGGGATTTAGTAGGCAAAAGTTCAGGCTTCTCCTCTCTTTATTATATGTCAGTGCTGGGACGCTGACAATATCTGACATCTCATAATGCTGACCACAGCTGACCAGTTGGAAAGAGTTGACAGATTTCCCTTTATTTCGAGGCCCTTCCTTCCTTCCTTCCTTCCTTCTAGGCCCTCACTCCATCCTGTGGCTATCCTTTTAATTTCTAGTCACATTTGGATTGCTCGGGGTCAAGAAAGGAAATTAAAATGGTAACTATAAATTTGAATAGAATAGAATAGAATAGAATAGAATAGAACAGAACAGAACAGAACAGAATTTTTTATTGGCCAAGTGTGATTGGACACAAGGAATTTGTCTTGGTGCATACGCTCTCAATGTACATAAAAGAAAAGATATGTGCTGGCAGTCAAAGAAAGTTTCTTGGCTAGGTGCAGATAAAATGATCATGAAGCTTCCGCCTTCCTAGCCCTATATATTAAAAACATAAGTAACTAGATTGGATTGGATTCCTATGAGCAGTCTCAACTCTGGGGTGAAGTGTAAACTCCTCCTGGACTCTAGAGTATGGCTGACACCCCAATCTTCTCAAGTCCCTTGCCTTCAGAGTTTTAATGTGACAGAAGGGGAAAATATTAATTGCATTAGTAATAATCCTAACTATGTTTAGCTAATCAACTTTAGTTTGGGATCTGACTCTTAGCATTTTTTGTTTCAGATTTTTCTATTTTGCCATTCTACTCAAAGGGTGGAAATGGCCCATACAAGTAGTCCTTGACTTACAACAGTTAATTTAGTGACCGTTCCAAGTTACGATGACACTGAAAAAGTGACTTTCAATCATTTTACACACTTAGGAACATTGCGGTATCCCCATGGTCACGGGATCAAAATTTGGACACTTACAACAATTGCAGTTTATTATTTATTTAACGTATGGCATGTGTTAGCCAGGGATCACTGAGGTAGCTGGCTGCCTCTGTGAAAGGAATTTTTTTGGGTGCTGTTATCTTTACCTGCAGGACGCCTGAATGCTGGTAGGCAATCGGGGGATGATTGCAATGTCCTGGTTCATGTGATCACCTTTTGTGACCTTACTAGCGAAGTCAATGGGAAGCCAGATTCACTTAACAACCATCTTATTAACTTAACACTGCAGTGATTCACTTAACAACTATGGCAAGAAAAGTTGTAAAATGGGCCAAATTCACTTAACAAATGTTTCACGTAGCAATGGAAAATCGGGGTTCCATTGTGGTCGCAAGTCAAGGACTATCTTTATAATGATCCAACCCAAGAATATCCAAATACAGCATCTCATATATACATCACACAATTGCTGGGAATTAAGAAGCATTTAATACGTTTAATTAATAATATAATTTTTGTATCATTCCTCCCAGAAGCAATAAAGGAAGAGAATACAAGATTTATATGATATATAAAATGTAAAATAATAAATATGTGTGCCTTTGAGTTATACTTGACTTCCGGCCACTGCCTGCACTAGTCCCTGCTAGTTTTCTTAGCAAGATTTTTTGGAAGTGGTGTGCCTTTGTCTCCTTTTTAGGGCTGAGAGAAAGAGACTGGCTCAAAGGCATCTAGCTGGCTGGCTTTGTGCCTAAGGCAGGACTAGAACTCATGGTCTTCCAGTTTCTAGCATGATGCCTTAACCACTATACTACCTTGGCTTTCTATGTACAAACACATACACAGAATTATACATATAAATAAATGTATAAAGGTAAAAGGTAAAGGTTCCCCTTCAACATATGTGCTAGTCATTCCTGACTCTAGGGGGCAGTACTAATCTCCGTTTCAAAGCCGAAGAGCCAGTGCTGTCCGAAGACATCTCTGTGGTCATGTGGCTGGCATGACTAAATGGCAAAGGCTCACGGAACGTTGTTACCTTCCCACCAAAGGTGGTCTCTATTTTTCTACTTGCATTTTTTACGTGCTTTCGAACTGCTAATTTGGCAGAAGCTGGGACAAGTAACGGGAGCTCACCCCGTTATGCAGCACTAGGGATTCGAACCGCTGAACTGCCGATCTTTCGATCGTCTTAGCCACTGAGCCACTGCGACCCTGATAAATGTATATCTATGTGTATATATCTGTATCTGTGTTTGTATGCATATAAAGAGAAAGAAAGGGTCACCCAGGGACACTGCAACCAGCATAAATACTGTTTGGTTGCCAAGTGCCTGAATTTTTATTATGTGACTCCAGGGACACCAGGACAGTTGTAAGTATGAGGATGGATCATAAGTCACTTTATTCAGTACTATTGTTACTATGTATGGTTGCTAAATGAATGTTTATAAGTTGATGACCTGTATCATGTTTTGGAGCAAGGAGAGGAGATGATATCAATAAAGTTTCTGTTTTTCATCATAAAGCTGACCCTAAGTGTTGGAGCTTCAAGGAGTTCCACTTCCTTGCTTAACAACAGCAGTTCCAATTGTGGCCATAAATTGAGAACTACCTGTATAATGTCTATGGAGATTCTCAGTCATCTAGGTCATTGATGTCCCAAAGGTGCTTTTTTCAAGAGGCAACTGGACTTTTTTGAACACTTTGAAAACATTTTGCTTCTCATTCAAGAAGCTTCTTCAGTTCTTCTGAAGCAGCTTCTTGAATGAGAAGCGAAACGTCTTCAAAGAAAAACAAGAAAGTCCAGTTGCCTCTTGAAAAAGCACTTTTGGTAGGGGAAAAAGGAAAAAAAATGTTACTACCCTGTTTCCCCCAAAATAAGACATCCCCTGATAATAAGCCCAATCGGGCTTTTGAGTGCATGGCAATAAGGCCAAGTGCTTATTTCAGGGTTCAAAAAAATATAAGACAGGGTCTTATTTTCGGGGAAACACAGTATATAAATGTACAATTATGATGATATATGTGAAATCAATAAAATAGAAAAGAAATTGAAAAGAAAGTATATATGAATAGAAAATCGGGGTTGCTCGGATACCAATATGGAAAATATTGAATTGAAAATAAATACGACAATGGAGAGAGAATGGAAAGAGGAGTAGAGGGTTAGATAGGAGGGGAGAAGGAGAGAGAGGAACAGAAGAAAGGGAAAAGGAGAGGAAGAAAGGGAGGGGAAAAAAGAATAGGAGAGAAGGTTAGAAAGGGGGGAAGAAGGGAGGAGTTGGGGAAAGGAAGGGGAAGGAGAGAAGGGGAAGGAGAGGAGGAAAGAAGAAAGTAGAAGAAGGAAGGGAAAGGAAAGAGAGAAGAAGGAGAAGAAGGATTGTTGTAAAACAAGGGAGAAGGAACGGTAGAAGAGCTATCCCGAATATATTTAAATTTTTTAAGGATGAAGAATGAATTAATATGAAAGTGTAAAGAGGATATGTATGATTAATAATGGATAACA